GCATCCTCTGGTGTGCGGTACTTGACGAAGTGTACATCGGGTTTGTGACCTGTAAGGTCGTGTTGAGACTGCAATTTGTTGGCCAAATCAGCCAAGTCGGCTTGTTTTTGTAGAACATAGATGGCGGTCTTCTGTTCGGCAGCAAGTTTGGCAAGATTGAGGGCGGCGTTCTCCAAACCATTATTTTCGGGTCCCTTAACGAAGACAACACGCAGATTCTTTTTCAATAAAGCATCCAGTTGTTCACTGCCGGCGGGTTCATTGAAATCATCCTCATCAGCGGTATAGCTGTAGAACTCCTTGTCGAATTCAGCGGAAGGTGCGGAATAAGAAGGTGAAACTTGTGTTGCGTCACCTCCTGGTCCACCATAACTACCCAGTCCACCAAGTCCGCCACTGCTACCACCTGGTGCAAACGAAAGACCAGCATCGGAGTGTCCTACAGGGCGATAGTTGTAGCCCAACTTATCCGCACAGGAAACGGTGAATAAACAGAGGACGATGAAGGCACGCATTTTTGAAAAATTGTGGGTGGCTTGAAACTGAATTTAGTTGAATGATTACTCAGTAATGGTTGTGTTTGGAATGATTAACGTATTTGGGTGGTGTCACTTTTATATGATCGCAAAATTGTTCTGCAGATTTTTAGTGCTCTGATGCCCAATAACAAACTGCATTCGTATGATAGTGAAATGCATTCAACAAAACTTCTTGGCGCCAGTAATTTGGCATCTTCCGGCGTGTGCGAAATGAAATATGCATAAATAATAACTAGCAGAGATGATATCAGTTTTCTTTTCTCACACGTTAATTGGCTTGTTAGCTGCTATTTACAAACTAGAGCTTACAAAATGACAAATATTTTATTAATGCTTTTTATTATATTTTATTATGCTTTGCATAATCAATGCGAAAACGAATATATTTGTATTCCATGTTATAATTTAATAAATGTACCTATATATCCTCACCTAAAATCCAAAAGAAGGTATCATCAAAAAAATCGAAATTTAGTTTTTTATTGCTAAAGGTTCACAGCATTATGTTACAAATATGTAGCATTAAATTCCCAGTTTCCGCTGTCAGATATAACCATTTTATAACCAATGTATAACCTATTTATAACCATTTTATAACCAAAACTCAACATGGAAAAAAACTCCAACTTTCTGTTCACGTGACGGCGCTTACACATCCACAGCATGGTTTGTAAGCAGCCCCCGTGAAATAAACGACCTTGAGCTCTTTTGTTTGTACCAATTCTCAAACCTATAAACCTAATTCTGAGCAAATTCCAACTTTTTTTTTTTTTTAATTTTTTNTTTTTTTTTTTTGTTTTACCGTCGCATATTATTAATTTTCTATCGTGTTTAATTGCCTTCATTGTTTGCTCTGCCAACTGATTCGACCATTCAATGTCCCCATCTATAGAAATACACGCGATAAAATACAAACTTGTATGCAAATAAACTGGTTTCGCCAAATTCACTTCGCTTGGCGTTTCCTTCTGGCGCTTTGTTGTTCGTTGCCGCCGGTCGAAATTTATTTTATTATGCGGTTTTTATAGCTGCTTTTATGTGGTCGTGTGAATGAGTGTGCTCTCATACCAACTATGCGGGTGGAATGACCTCTAAAAGTCGCACCGGAAGTGATCAGCCGAGCTGCTAATCGTTTGTGCTATCGGATATCGAGTGTCGGATGTTGGATATCGCTATGCATCGTTTGACGCAAATTCGCGAAAAGTACGCACACACAGATAAACATATATGGAGGTATATGTAGATGCTTCGATAATGTCTGCGACGTCTATGAAAGCGATGGCTGATAATAATTAAAATGCGACAGCAAGTGGCTTCCCAGCCCAATTCATCGCTAAAAGTAGTGCCACATACATACATATTACAATAAAGTTGTATATACCGTTTTAAGTAACGGTAGATAAGTAAATATGAAGAGCGCTTATTTACATGCTCATATTTTTAAGAGTTTTGCATATGCAATACCCTTCGGTACATATCGTTAAGTATATAAAAATTTTATACATATATACATATGTATGTATGTTTATGAATTCGTTTTTTCWTGTCTCACATTCCACCAGACAATTCGCTAATTGGCCTTTTATCGTAGCGTGAATGATTGGTTGTTTAGCTCAATAGATTAATTGCTTGGCGCCATTCATTAGCGGTTTTTTCACAAATTAGAAAATTGCATATGCCGATTAAAATATTATTCATAGTTAATCATTTGCAGCTTCTCTCGGAAAGTGTGATAATAGCTGAAATTAGTTTAAATGCTATTTAAAAGTTAGGTTTTAAATTATTGACTTCGCCTCACGGAAGCTATAATACCCTTTACAAGAGTACTTTTTATATCATAGATGAATATAAAGAGATCAGTAAATTAATTTGGTCGGCCAGTTTGAATGGATGATATACGCTATTGTGATCTGTTCGGAATTTTTTTCCAAAGATTGTCTTGGAAAACAATCTTCAACAAATTTTAAAAAATGTAATTTGTAAGATAAAAAAAGTTTTCCACAAAAGAATTTAATTTCGATTATTCAGTTGGTATGGCAGCTCATTCTTTGGGAGAACAAAGTCATGTGTTGAAGTTCACGCAAGTTAGAGAAGTCTTCCGAGAGCTATTCACTTATGAGTGGCCATAAATTTTTAAATATTTTTTAAAAGCACATATGGCTCAAGCCACTCACGACTACAGGTGTTAGACCAAGTATCCTCTGGGTAGGCAAAAAACAATTGTTTCAAGGCGAGAAAAGAAGATAATAGATTCAGATGAGAGACCCGCCAATAGGGATGATTTGATTTCTAAGTTTTTAATATTATATCAGTTTTACGATTTTTCGTGCCCTTTTGCCATTTTATTGTCGTAATAATCGTTCACCTGTACTCGCTATTCGTCGAATTGCTGCAAATTTGGACCGCACATTTTTATTACATTACGTTGAAGTGTCAATAAGACAAAGAACCGCTCTGAGCAATGAAAATACGCTGCCGTTCAGGCAAGTGTTGCTGAAGACCGCATTTTGTCGATTCCAATAAGTTTTCAAGAATTGCGACTGTCTCAAACCACAACCTGGTAGATTTTGAGAAAGTGTTTGGGCTTGCATCCATATACAACTGTTGTCACACCGAAGCCATTGGACCACCACAAACGTCGTTAATTTGCCTTGGAATAACTTGTAAACGATACCGATTGTTATGAGAAATCATCTTAACCGATGAGACTCACTTTCAGCTGAGTGCTGCGGTGAATAAACAAAACTGTCAAGTCACGATCTATTCATGAACAAACCTTTACATTCGCCAAAATAGAAAGTTTGGCGTGATTTTTGATCTGGTGGAATCATCTGGCCGTACTTCTTTCGAAATAAAGCTGGTGACTTGGTTAGTCTTAATGCAGAGCGGTACAGATCGATGATAACTAACTTTTTATGAAAGCAATTGGAAGAAGTTGATATGGGCAACATCTAGTTCCAGCAAGATGGAGCTAAGTGCCAGACAGCATACATAACAAACGAATTATTGTGAGAAAAATTTGAAGATTCGATTGTTTCAAGAAATTGTGTCATTGAATTGCCCTCAAGAAGTTGTGATTTTACACCATTAGATTACTGCTTGTGGCGTTATTTCAAGTCATCGGTCTTTAGCACTAAACTGGACTCTCCTCAAGCTTTAGAATTCAATATTGAACGTGCTATTCATGACATACGAGTTGAGTTATTGGAAAAAGTACTTGAAAAGTGGGTTCATTCAATTCGTCCTTGCAAAGTATGTTGTATGTAGGCCATTTGAATGATGTTATATTGAAAACTCAATTGCGTCGAATTTACTTCATATTAAATAAAAAACATTTGAATTTCTTTAACAGTTAGAAAGAAATTATATCACTCATATTGGAAACCCTGTTTTATATACAGAAACAAGGAGACAAAAACTAAGTCAGATAAGCGCAAGGTGAATTGCCCAAAACCCTTAGCTGAAAATAATGTAGTCCGTGCTGTAGGGTTGTGATTCGTTTCGTGCGATTTACATATGTACTAACTATATATAGAAAAGAGCCTCGGAGACGTCAGAATTAAGACTTCTCAACTATGTACTATAAATAATTTTTTGACTGATTTCCCTCAAAGGCAAAATTTTTGAACTCATTTAATGAGAAAAACACAGAAATATATACAGACATATGTACATATATATGCAGATAGCATATAAAGCTGCATTTCATAATTTCACAACAACATCAAACACTTTGTTGCCGACCGACCGAAGATATGAATACATTTTACGCTCAGCTCGAATGAATTAGCATAAACCTAACTAAAAATGTAGTCTGTGCAAATTATTGTCATAAAATAAATGCCTAATTATGACAATGAAGATGAGATACAAAAGAGTTCTTCGGCAATATGCGAGAGTTGCAAAACCAAATGATTGGTAATGAACTCTCAACCGAATGTCCAACCGATGTAGCAGACGACAGATGCGAAGATGAAATAGCAAACTGATTAGCAAAAGATTATTATTTGATGTGTGTTCGTATAAATATGAAAAGTCTCAGACAAGAAATCATCATAAACAATTAATATATCCAACAAGTAACTAGTAAAAATTAAAAACTAAAAATGCGCGCCTTCATCGTAAGTGTTGCTACTGTGAACAGGCGAGTGGTCAAAAATAAAGTTTTGGTTTTAATTTTTCGCAGGTCCTGTGTTTAGTGGCTGCAGCCTCTGCCGATAAGTTGGGTTACAACTATCGCCCAGTTGGTCACTCCGACTCCGGACTCTCGTTTGCGCCTGGTGGCTCCTCAGGACTCGGTGGTCTCGGCGGCAGCGGCGGATTAGGCGATAGTGGATTGGTTGGGTTAGGCGGCGGTCTTGGAGGACTCGGTGGTTCAAGTGGCGGTTTGGGTGGTCTTGGTGGACTCGGTGGGTCAAGCGGCGGTTTGGGTGGTCTTGGCGGTTCAGGTGATATCGGTAACTCCGGCAGCGTAGGACCCTCATACTCTGCTCCTGCTGAATTCAATAAGGAGTTCTTCTCCTACATCGCTCCCGAAGAAGAGTTCAATGACGTTGATGCCGGTCAAGATGTTGTCAGCTCACTGAAGAAGAACCTCCGTGTTATCTTCATCAAGGGACCTGAAAACAAGGGACTCGAAAACGCTGCCCTCCAATTGGCCAAACATGCTGCCGAAGACCAAACCGCCATCTATGTTTTACAGAAACAAAGCGATATCGGAGACTTGGCTAAGAAACTCAACTCTATCAACAGCCAAAGCKCACACAAACCCGAAGTACACTTCGTCAAATACCGCACACCTGAAGATGCTGCCAACGCTCAACGTGCTATCCAATCGCAATACGACCAATTGGGCGGTCCTTCTCAATCGCACGATGGTGGCGCCGCACCAGTGCACAACTTCGCATCCCAAGCTCCAGTTCAAGCACCCGAAGTGCATGCTCCCCGTAACGCCTACTTGCCCTCCTCCATCATCCGTGTTTAAGTAGAAACTACATAAAACCAAATCACCACTTGTTATCTATTTTGTCTAATTGAAAGAACTGATTTGATAAGTTGGTTTTACGAAACGTTTGAACCAATTTACGAATATGGCCTACGCTTATTATTGTTATTGTTGCTAAATTTAAATATATACAAAATTACGATTTTTTATTCATATTCATATTGTTTTAATTCTTTTTTTAAGATTCCAGATCAAAATCTGTTCTGTCCGATTTCTCTTTCTCACAGGTGACATTCAGTAAAAATTCTCCTAGGCAGCTTAAAACTTTTTCTAGTGTTACATTCGCTGAAACGCTTGAATCATTCTTTACGAGAACACTCTAAAATATTCTCAGCAGTATCGTTTTTGGCTTTTGTTTTTTTAAGTGAAAATGTACTGACAATACAAATAGACGTATCATATGGCAAAAAACTTATTTTATTTTTGATCCATCCATCATAACCATTACTTTCTAGAAATAGGTCATATAAAAAGCACCTTTTTTATTATCAGAAATTCAGGTTAGCTATACAATCGGATATGCATTATAAATTACGATTGGATTTCATTATTTTCAAGATATCTCCAATCTTAGCTAAGTAAAGCAATTTTTTTATGACCATAATGTAGGAGAATCTGGTTGAGTTATTGGTTCCTTATAATGAGTATTCTAAGTGCGTTTGTATTCGTACGAAAAACGTATAAGAAATATTGATCTTATAGAATATATTGTACTCGCAACACCAGAAATCTTGGAAGTTGAAGTCGACAAATTTGTGAAAGTTATACAAAAATCGGAAGGGAATAGTACCAGAATTATGAAACAAAAATACTAAATATAAAATAGAACTGAGCAATTAAACTAAGCTTCTCAGCAAAAAAAAAGCAAAGAATTTGTGTATACGTTTCAAACTATATAGAGAAACTTACAACAAAGAAAAATACAACCAACTCTTTTTGGAAAGCTGTAAAAAATAATAAGAAACCAGGTTTGCGACATCTTTCCATCCGAAAATCTTAAGGATCCTGCATAAAAAAACAAGAATAAAAAAGCGGATTTTTTTTTCAGAGACAACAAACGAAGCCATATTTTATCCACTCTTTTGACATTTCTCTTCAATAAGGTTTGCTACTTCATCATGGAAAGATATACGATACAACAACGAGTAGGAATGATTAAAATTTACTAATGAAATTCGGAGTCAGTGACCTCAACTTTAAGAGCGCTATGTCCAATTTATAGTCGTATTATCATTCTCTCAACTCAACAATTGAGCGTTTACTGGAAATATTTTAATCCACAGGTCTCGTGCCAGTGTCGAGAATATTTCTGTCTCCAACGGATCAATTGTGGAAGACCCAAATCAGTCTCTCACACGCCGTTCTCAAGCGTTGGGCATCTTTGTGACGTCATTGTGAGGAATTTTATGAAAGGATCTCGACCTACATCCTGACAAGATCAAATTAACGCAAGAACTGAAGCCGCTTGACCACCAGAATCGTCGTATGTTTGTGAATTTGACTGAGCAACAACTTGGAAATGTTCCCGACTTTCATCGAAAATCGTCTTCACCGATCAGGCTCCTTTCTGGCTGAATAGCTTCGTCAGTAAGTAAAATATGCGTTATTGGTCAGGTCAATCCACCCGTACCTCTGGAGTCACCATTGTATCCCGAAAAAATTACTCTTTGATACGGTTGATCAATGATCGTTATGATCACGACCGGCACGTTACTGAGAATGGGAATCTTTACCGCTCAAAGATAACCGAATATATTTGGCCCGAATTGGATATACGTAATTGACCCAGACATTTTTAATCATGAAATATAATTACATTTTTCTAACTATTATTATACATTACGTGGTGTTTTATTATGTATACTTCCAAAGCTAGCAATGTGTGGGTCCGTAATGGAGTTGATGTCTAAGGAAACGGTGTGTAAAAAGAAGAATTGCATTACTTTATTTTTACCAAACCAAAAGTACCAACAACATTCCAGCTTTGAAAAAAAAAATTATAATCGTAACCAATGACAAACATAAAGAATTGTTGTATGAGCATACATGAACATTCATGCTGCCGAAATATATTTATTAGCAAAATACTGAACAGAAGCAGAAGTCCGCGTTTGATTTGTTGATCTCGCAGCAATATTAAGTAAGTTAAATGCTGACGCTTGCAATAAAAGTATAATAAATCTTTATTGCGAATTTAGTGTTTATTTTGATAAAAATCGGGCTGTCGATATTAAAAAGTCGTTGCATTTTAAATATGTTTTTTAATTGATGCTGCTGAAGACATATACACTTTTGATGGTAACTGCATTTGAACACTTGGAGACTTAAAATATGCAGAGTCTTGGCTAAAGCCATCAACAACGATTGAAGTAGAAGTGACGTTTCTGCTCATTTATAGTCAAAGCCAAATTTATGACTTGCGCGTTGACAAGTGGAGCAAAGAAGAGCGTGAAGCTTTTGGTTGCGGAACAGCAAATAAAATTCAAAATCGATATGCCCATTGAAGTCAGCTCCAAGCATTTTTGGTTAATCAAAGTAGAGGAAACTGAATAAAATATCATTTGATACAGATATAAATATTTTATCAATAAATAAAAAAAAAAGCTAAGCATTTTGGGGTTTTTTTTATAAAAATTTGGAATTGAATTTGTATAAAAGATGGTGTATCGATGATGGCAAATCATTCCGAACGCGACCATTTCAGAGTCTTAAGAGGCAACCGCGAAAATTAGCAAAATAGTGAAATAATTTACCAAGTGCCAAAATAGAAAGAATAAAAAATGCGTGCTTTTATCATCCTGTGTATATTAGCCTCTGCTTACGCCGATAAATTGGGCTACAACTATCGTCCTGTTGGCCATTCCGATAGCGGACTCTCATTTACGCCCGGTGGTGGCGCAGGTGGACTAGGTGGACTCGGCGGCAGTTTGGGTGGACTCGGCGGCAGCAGTGGAATTGGTCCTGCTGCACCTGCACCTGTTTATCAAGCGCCAATTGCTGAGTACGAAAAGGAGTTCTTCACATACACTGCCGATGAAAAAGAGTTCAGTGAACCAGCCGACAATGGTCAGGTGATCGAATCATTGAAAAAGAACTTGCGCGTCATCTTCATTAAGGGACCCGAAGGCAATGGCTTGGAGAAAGCCGCTGTCAGTCTCGCCAAACACGCTGGAGAAGAGAAGACCGCTATCTACGTGTTGCAGAAACAAGCTGACTTGGGCGATTTGGCTAACAAATTACAGGTTGAAAACGATGTGCAACGTCACAAACCCGAAGTACACTTTGTCAAATACCGCACACCCGAGGATGCGGCCAACGCTCAGCGTGCCATCCAACAGCAATACGATCAATTGGGCGGCAATTCTCAAAGCTATAATGGCGGTGATGCTCCAGTACACAACTTTGCTTCTCCTGCTGCGCGACCAGCACCACGTCCCGTTAGCGCTCCCGGCGCTGCTTATCTGCCTTCATCCATTTTCCGTGTCTAAAGGTTATAGACAAGCGCGTGAGGAAAACTGAAATCGACTCTGAAATGTTGTTATTTATATATAGACTGATGATCCTTATTAATTGTTGTTATCTACTTTTAATAAATTGTTTACTTCGTAATGCATAATTAAAGAAATTGGTGAAATTGATTTCCGGTTAATGGGGTATAAGGGTTGAATAGTCTACCCTTTAAGCCTTCAGAAAAAAATAATACTTATTTTTGTTTCACGAGGTTAAAGTTCCTTCATAAAAATGGAAATTCAAAAGTTTAAAGAGTTATAAAAAACTTTTTTGCGTTGAGATAATGATTCACAATACTTTTTTAATATCTGTTTAATAACAGTTCATTATTGGACTCTTGGACATTGGACTCTGAAAGCATTGCTAACGGGCTTACAGCGTCAACTGGTATAAAACAGAAAAATATGGTTATAGCAATTACAAAAGCAAATTACAAAAATCAAATCTTTCCTCTCTTTTCTTAATAACATCAGTTTTTATCGTCTTATTCTCGAAGTAGAAGGTTGGTATTTCAGTGTCACCCATGCGCCTACTAGGCGCAATAACCTAATTGGTGTAGTTGTAGTAAATGCATTATGTAAAATAAGTGGTAAAGTTATTTTCAGACCTCTAATGTGTTGACAGTAAAAGCTACACAAACTAAATTCGTCGAAACATTGAGGTTGATGGTGAAAAACTAGTTGATTTCATTAGCATAACTTTTTCTGAACACATGTAGCTGTGCACGTTTGTACGTACCCGTGTAGCGAAGAAATACCGGAATAATAATTCTATAATTTATTGATTATATAGGTTTCATAACCATAACAAACCTGTTGTTTTATGCTAGAGTAATTATGAGTTGTAGGCATGTTGTTCCGAAATTTCGTGTTAACCCACTATGAGCCAGAAGATAGGAGAGGGTTTAAGGTCTTTTTAAAATTAATTTCTTAAAAAGAGTTTTGGAAGAATAAGTTCGCGATTAAAAAAATAAATCACGATCACTGAAGTTCGTACAGAAAAGAGGTTCTTGAGTTTAATTATTCTGTTAGTATGACATCATATATCTGTAGCAGTTCGACATGTAGTTGCAACAGGACGGCTTGCAAGCCACTTGAATTCGTCTCGGCCGATTTATTCTTGAAAACCGCCGTTACATACATATTTATACGTATATTATTTATAGTGCCACCATCGTTTTCCTTTGGGTCTTACAAACTTCGCGGCAAGGGTATAAAACGGAAACAGTCGTCCAAGTGACGGTTACTAGAATTGAACAAGCCAAAATCTAGACGCAGCGGCAAGAGCAGATTCGCATGTGCTGGTATATCCACGGTCTTTTCAAGTAAACAAGGATTAATAATCAAAATGATATGAAAATTTTGAATGATCTTAATTATTTTAACCAGATGGTTTGATTGAAATTATTATAACCAGGGGTAGATGAAACAAGATTCTCTCAGTTTGTGAGGAACCATTTTTTTACCACTTTAAAGAGAAAACTCTTAGCCAACCAATTTAATTTTATATAAATACATTTTTTCGATTACGAAAAATCATAAACATATCAAACTGTCCCCGTAACTCGCCAAAAGCTTTGGTTAACCTGAATATTTATGTACTGTAGTCTCTAGCTCTAATGGAATGCTACATTATTTTGTAATCTTCGTTTTCCAAGTTCCGTAAAAACTTTCATTATAAATTCACACAAAATAAGTAGTTTTTAAGAATGCCAAATTAAAAATTTCAGTCTTCTCAGTCAGCCAGATCCTTCAGTGGTATTCGCTTTCCAGCATATACTTGTTGAATTTACCCACAACATTATGTTAAAACTATTTTGGGATGTGGCTAGTTTTCTGCATTTTAATGGACTAATTTCGCTGGTTTCTGGTATGCTCGCTATATTTACGGTATTTTGCATATTGACCGGCTTCATAAAACTACAAATAGAACGCTTTGCCGGTACGGCTTTTGTGACGTCTTGCCTAATCATATTCATATTCGCACCGGGCTTGCCTGTAGAATGCGGCTTGTGAATCCACTTTGAGTGGAACTAGTTCCGCATTGCTATGAATATTAATTTTCTTTTTCTCACCCAATTGATTTGTAATTTTGTTTTCGTTAGAGATTAAGAAAATAAACTACCAAAATCGTCACAGTGCAGCGCAGCGCACATTTCAGGGGTTTTGCTGGTATTGTGGTCGCGCCAAATACAGACTTAAAGACCAAAACAATGCTGACGTTCACATATTTACTAATAACTAAAATTATGCGGCGCTACCGAGTTGTGGACTAGACCGAAGCAATTTTCTTCGCATAAACTACTTTTTTCGGTGTGTGGGTGAGTGTGTGTTATACGAGGACGGGTTAGATCATTTGCATCAGAAAAGCTTTTTGGCCACTAGTATGCGTCACGTGTATATGTATGTGTATTCTTGTAGAGAGATGCCTAAACTTGCGGTTAGTGGTTATAGGTACGCATATGTATGTGATTTTCGCAAACTGGGTCCGGGTGCTGCGTACTTGTGGGAAGTCGCTGGATCAGTTGTACGTCGAAAGCATAATAAAACCCGTTGAACATCAACGGGGAGAGTTGTTGTTAGCTGTATGCTGAATTGGGCAAAAATCGATATTCAGACATTGTATATAAAGAGGCTGCCGTTCCAGCAAGAATTATTCTCAGTTCGCAACTTCAGAGTAAATTACCAAATTTTACGGGCATCATGCGTTTCTTCATTATTTTGTGTTTTGCGGCCGCCGTAACCGCTGACAAATTGGGTTACAACTACAGACCTGTAGACCACTCTTCGTCCGGACTCTCCTTCACACCCGGCAGTGGTGGTGTAGGTGGTGTTAGTGGCGGTATTGGTGGAGGTAGCGATGGCTTCGGCTCTGGTGGTCTCAGCGGATTTGCCGCTGGTGGCGATGATGGTAGCTACGGCAGCTCCGGAAGTCTAGGTGGACTTACTGGTGTCGGCAGTGGATTCGATTCGGGCGCTCAGAGTATTGTCTCACCTGTCTCACATGGAGTCAACAAAGAATTCTTCTCATTCTCTGCTCCTGAAGATGAATTCGAAGATGCTGAAGGTGCCCAACAATTGGCTAATTCTCTGAAAAAGAACGTTCGTGTCATCTTCATCAAGGGACCTGAAAACAATGGCTTAGAAAAGGCTGCCCTTGCTCTGGCCAGAAACGCGGCCGAACAGAAGACTGCCATCTATGTGCTGCAGAAGCAACATGACATCGCTGATTTGGCCAACAAATTGCAGTCTGTCAATGATAACCGCAACCACCATCCAGAGGTGCACTTTGTTAAATACCGCAACCAAGACGATCTTGTCAACGCTAAGCGCACCATCCAATCGCAATACGACCAAGAGCCAGGTGCATCCCAAAACTACAATCACGCTGTTGCTCCAGTGATCAACTTTGCCTCACCATCTGCACCAATTCAGTCGTACGGCCAACAGCAACAATACTACCACCCAGCTGCGTCCAACACCAACACAAACTACTTGCCACCCTCGCTGTTGAGACGTCTCCGTTTCTAAACGCTAACTTGTACCTAAATATTTACTTAAATAATTTTCAAAAACGACAAAAATAAATTTAAAAAAATATAAAACAATTCACGGAATTTTATTTAATATCATCTGGAGTTCTTCACTGAGGAAATATTCGCAATTTATTAGCAAAATATATAAAACTGGATTATAGAATAGCATGAGCAAGGGTCAATTGTCTCGAAAGCAATAAGATCAAAAACAGATAGAATATCTCTATAAAAATAAATTAAATAAGTTATTCTCACAAAAATGTGAAATATCGAAGAAGTAACACATTTAATTTAGCAGCTGTTTTACAAACTTTTTGAAAATACTTTCCGAAAGTACTTTCTGAAATACTTTATTTTCGACGTAAAATTCTTTATTAGGCAATAAACATGTAATTATTGAAACCATTTCTCTATCTTGATACTTAAGGTTGTACAATAAAAAAAGTCATAAAAGTTTTATAAGCTTTAAACTTTGTATTATGTCGTTTAACACAACTACAATTAAATAAAATATAAATATAATTTTTATAACTATAAAAAAAGAGGCGATTAAACCAGAGATCACACTTGGGATTAACACTTGTCTCTTATACACATCTAGATGTGTATAAGTCTTCACCGATCAGGCTCCTTTCTGGCTGAATAGCTTCGTCAGTAAGTAAAATATGCGTTATTGGTCAGGTCAATCCACCCGTACCTCTGGAGT